GTTAGTTGTTGTTGATCGTTGGGCCGAGCTGCCAAAACAGAACGCCTTATTTGTGTGAAGTAATTCCGATTGTCATTTTTCGATCAAATAAGCTGTGCAGGTGAACTATTTAAAAACTGATTTGACTGCCTGAAATCTATTGCTAATTGCTATAACTTTCTAAGCAATTTGAGTTGTCAGATATTTAATACTCTTAGTTGAATATCATGTGGGCACGCACTATAGATTTATTTTGAACCATTATTGTCTATATTTGAGCTCTTAACTTTAATAATGTACTGTTCTTTAATAATATACTGTGGGCTTGTGGCTAATATACTGGCTATAAATTCCATTTAGAACAACAGGTTAATTTCTAACGGTCTACTTTTTGACACCCCTGTATGATATTTTCCCTGTATGATATTTTTTTACATAGTTACTCGACTTTGTGCAATAACCACAGGGCCGTCACATGTCATGCAGACCTTTATCATTTAGTCTGTGACAAACTGCAAAGAATGAAGATATTACCATGGATAATAAAGTACATGTTATTTTACAATCCATGGTATTACCCACACTTTCCTGCAACTTATTCAACATATAATAGTTAATTAAATACGCTTTCGGCCATTTAGTACTACTATAAATTGTAAATTTCGACATGCTAAAACGCTTTTTTCTGACTATCGGAATTCTGTTAAATCTTCCCCAAAGTCCAGGAAATGGCATTGCAGAGACTCTAAATTTAAAAATTTCCTCGGACCTCGGCCCTCGCTTTCAGCCTCCCCTCCCCCCCCCAAATCGAAAAGAGTTTCCTACGGCCCTGTACCATACGTCCTTGCAACTCTTAAATTTTATATTAATTGTATTTATAACAAGACTGTGACATTAATTAAACCGAACTTTCACCGGTTCACGAGTACTGTGCACACCTTAAAATAGTTGGCTTTTCTTATCAAACACAAATACTACAAAAGTCGGTCCTGGAAAATAGGACACCCCCCCAAATTTTTTTTGAATGTGCGCCCCTGGCAACATCCTTCTCAAAAGCACGTAGTTTTCTCTTGGTGAGGGCTACGTGGTTTCCTTTCTGAATGCATACGAGTGCCACTTTATATATTTTTTAAAAAATCATTTACAGTAATGCATATATTACCTTTTCATTGGTCGCGAAGGCGGACACAGAATCTGGGTTTGCCTTCGTTGATCCAATGATCCATTATTACCGATAAAATGTAAACTGCAAATATAGCTGTCTTTCGTGCAAACAAAATTATCATCCCGGTGACACGCGATTATCCATTTTATATCTCCTTTCTGCCGATCGTACAGCCCAGGAAAATGATAAAATTGAATTGGGTCATTGTTTTTATTTCTCTTATGAAGGTGTGGGTATCTTGAATCATTTTTACATGTTCCCCAACCCAGGACTGCAAAATTACCACTGAAAAAGGAATTAATTCCAATTACAATTATTTGCTTTAAAATCTAATAAATTCATGATTACAATTACTTGTTCTAAAATGTAATTAAGTACAATGAAAAAATTACTCCGGAAAAAAGGAATTAATCACAAATTCCTTTACCGGCAAATTGTTACTATATATATTATAAGACAATATCTTATAAACATACAAGAATTTATCAAGATGATATTTCAAGAAATTAAACTGCTTGGGCTTTCATGGGACAAGTCGAAAGACAGTCTAAGCGTTACACTTGATCACGAAGGTTATGGCACAACAAAGAGAAGTGTGTTATCCCAACTCGCCAAAATATACGATCCACTAGGGTTGGTCTCTCCTATGACGTTGCAAGGAAAGAATCTCTTCCGTGAAATGTGTGAAGCCCGTATTCCTTGGGATGGTGAATTACCCGAGACCTCGAAGCAACGCTGGGAAGAGTGGTACACAGGACTCCCACAAAGTTACGAGATTCCACGATCCTTAGCTCTCCACCAGGAGCTCGTTGCAGCGATCACACTTCATGCCTTTGGCGATGCAAGCAAAGTTGGAGTGTCGGCCGTGGTATATGCAGTTGTAGAGCAAGAACATGGAACAACGCAAGGGTTGGTGTGCGCAAAATCTCGATTGGCGAAGCGTAATCTCTCCATACCTCGTCTAGAACTCGTTGCCGGACACATGGCAGTGAACTTGCTATCAAACGTGGAGAATGAAATCGATCAAAAATTAGTCTCGTCGGTCCATTGCTGGTTGGACTCCACAGTAGCGCTCTACTGGATCAATGGTCAAGGAGAATATCGCCAGTTCGTTGCCAACCGCGTTGCCAAGATCCAAACCCACACTCGTGTGAAATGGCATCACGTACCAACAAAACAAAATCCTGCTGACTTAGGTAGTCGCGGTGGAAGTGTTGTTGGAAACGACCTTTGGGAAAATGGTCCACAGTGGCTGAAAGACCCCGCAAAGTGGCCACCAAATCCAGTGCTCGAAGCGAATCGAGAAGTGCAAGAGGAACTAAAACCGACCAAGAATCAACAAGCACTAACAACGCTCAAGCAATCGATCACCATCGACATATGGGAAGAGTTGCTCAAGAAGTTTTCTCTCCGGAAGGCCCTGAGAATTCGTGCCCAATTCAACCGGTTTGCAAAGAATCGTAAGGTATCCTGCGAAAATCGGAAAACAGGACCGTTAACGTCGGAAGAAATCGAAGAAAGTGAACTTTGGGCGATTAAAAGAACGCAAAGTGAAATCAAGGAAGATCCTGAATTCCACGACATCCAACTTCAATTGAACATTCAGCTTAACGGAAACGGAGTACTCGAATGCCGCGGTCGAATTGAAGGAGATTTCCCCGTGTACTTGCCTCGCAGTTCCACCTTAGCCAAGAAAGTAGTCGAACGAGCACATCTAGTAACCCTCCACGGTGGTGTCGCTATGGTCATGGCAAAAGTACGTGAGCGATTTTGGATTCCAAAACTGCGACGGTTGGTGAAGCAAGTGCGGAAAGATTGTTACGGGTGCGTGAGATCTAGAGCTCAAGCATATAAGAAACCTCCACCTGGGAAGCTGCCAATCACGAGAACGCAAGGTTCAACCCCGTTCCAAGTCATTGGAGTAGATTTTGCGGGTCCAATACGCTACCGGACTAAAGCAAAAGCGGAGAAGAAGGCATATCTGGTGCTTTATGGCTGCAGTTTGACGCGTGCAGTGCATCTCGAGATTTTACGGTCATTGGAAGTTGCGGAGTTCATACCAAGTCTGAAAAGACTCATCGCAAGACGTGGTCGCCCGAAGATCATATATTCCAACAACGCGAAGACCTTTAAGGCTGCCGACAAATGGCTGAAGAAAGCACAAAAGGACGAGAAGTTCAACGCATTCCTGGCTGACAACGCAATCGAGTGAATCGAGTGGAGGTTCAACCTTAGTCGTGCACCATGGTGGGGAGGCCAATTTGAACGCCTCATTGGTCTCTTCAAAAGAGCGTTCTACAAAACGATCGGTAACGGAACGTTGACCTTAGACGAATTAGAGGAAGTAGTATTGGATGTGGAAGTGGCTCTCAATAATCGTCCGTTGACCTATCTAGAAGATGACATCCAATTACCAGTACTTACACCTTCCTCAATGCTGAACATTAACCCTTGTGTCCTGCCTGAAGTTGATCCCCACTACCTGGAAGATAGAGATTTACGAAAACGTGCGAGACTATTACGGAAAAGTAAAGAGGCGATGTGGAAACGTTGGTCCCAAGAGTATGTTCGAAGCCTGCGCGAACGCCATAACCAACGGGTCGGCAAACAGACCTCCTATCCAAAGATCGGGGAGATCGTCATAATTCGGGACGAAGACAAGAAACGTCATGCATGGAAACTCGGAGTCGTGTCCAGGGTGATGAAAGGAAGAGATGATGTGATACGGGGAGCTAGTATACGGACCTCGAACGGGAATATCGAGCGAGCGGTCCAGCATATTTATCCCTTGGAGTTATCCTGCGACGAGTCAAAGTGGACCCCCAACCCGGAAGCACCAACCTTTACCCCACGTCCGACCAGGGATGCAGCTGAAGCAGCGAAGATACGGTTGAAGCAAGTCGCGGATGCGGAAGAACACTAATGCGAGACATTTATTACAACTTTATTCCATATTAACTTTATATATTCTATTTGTTAGGTAGTAAATGATGAACTACAGCAACGAAGTCAGTCCCTTCAAGGACATATACCTCAATTCTGAGCTATATGGGGGAGTGTGTCGGGAACTGACAGATAAGATTATTATTTTAATTGATTATTAGTGCATGACGTAGGAATGATTAGGTGTCAAAGTGAGGGTGTGAGTGAAATAGTCACGAAAGAGAGCAGAGAGTTAGTTGAACAATCGTAGTTGGACTGTGACAGTGAGTGAGAGAGAAATTGTATTTGTGAAAGAGAGATAATAGCCCGTGCGCTATCTATCTATACGTAATCGTGACCATTGTGAATCTTTTAATTTTGTTATATATCTTTGGTAAATTTTATGTTTTGTTTGAATATATATTTTTGTTACTTCGAACATTTGTGACTTGTCGAGGACTACATTTTGGAGGCGAATTCTCGACACCACAACACAAATTAGGTCTGCTGCGTCGCTCGCTCGCTTCAGGCTCGCTCGCTTCCGCATCGAATATACTCGGTTATATTATAAGAAAGCGAAGAAAAACTTGAAATTACGCGTTGACCGACTTCAAGCGATGACAGGGATTATATGATCATGAACCGCTTTTCACGCGAAAAACATTACTCTCTAATAAATTGTGTATATATATATATATATATATATATATATATATATATATATATATATATATATATATATATATATATATATATATATATATATATATATACGGTATATATATAAATATAAATTCCAACATCATACAAAGTTGTTAAGTTATTATCAAAAGCGTAAAGCGATTCCTAAAGGTTTTTCTATTGACTTTCACACGGGTGCAACGGATAAAACTCTATTAACCAGAATAGACTCGGTTTTAAAGAAATGCTCTAATAAACTGATGACAGTGTTCAAGGGTTATTATAAGCAAAAGTTACGAAGTCTTGATCGTGAAGAGGACAGACTGATTACTGGTTTAAAGAAATATCACCCACAATGTGCAAGTATGATTTTAAAAAAATTGGAAGAAAGGAGTGTGCATGAGGATTAATGAATTGAATTATAATAGGCGGTTACGGAAATATTTTAGAGACAGAATTTCACCTTCGGAAAGAATACAGACAGAATTTGAAGAAGTGAATGGATTGGTCTCGGAGAGATGTAAACCTATTAATCTGACAGACATTTCCCTCGATGAAAATTTTGTACAGCTGTGTAGTTATGGTCCAACGTTTGTTCCAACACCTAGTAGAATCGACTGGAATGAGATACAACAGGCTTGGTTAACCTTTAAGAAGAAGATTAGATGGCGAACATTGTTTCATTCAAAGCAACCAGCTAGTAAAGAAGTAAATAATTTAGACCCGCCTTATCAGAAGTCCATAAAAGATCCACGAATGGCAAGTATACCAGCAATTGAAGTATTTTTAAACAGAGTAGAAAATGATTTGTTTAGACAAACAGTATACAAGAATATTGATGATAATTTAAAACCAGAGGAAAGGAAAGTTCTAAATGAGTTTAGATCAAAATCGATAGATGAACAAGATATTATTATAAGAATGCAAGATAAAGGCAATAACTTTGTTGTATTAAACAAAACATTAGATCAAAATAAGGTTAAAGAACAAATGGAGCGTGGTAGTTTTAAAATTATTGATAAAGATCCCTCGTTAGATACATTTAAGGATATTAATGAGTGGGTGGAAAAGTGGAAACATTTAGGTTTATCGGATAAGTGGGTAAAATTTATTACCGGTGCCACTGATGTTCATCCTGGAATAAATTACCCACTTATTAAAACACATAAAGCCAACAACCCTGCTAGAGTGATTACCTCAGGTTGTGGGACCCCCACCGAGAATTTGTCTCTCTTTGTGGAAACATACTGTAAAGTGGTTGTTGATTCTATTGAGTGTAGGGTTAAGGATACGGCACATATGCTTCAAATAGTGGATGAGCTTAATGACACCGGCATATTAGAAAGTGATTTATTAGTAAGTTTTGATATCGTGAATATGTTTCCATCTATTAATAATAAAACCGGAGTGGAACGGGTGCGTAAAAAGCTCACACAATTTTCGGAAAAATTTGATGTGCCTGTGGAATGTATAATTGAGGCCTTGGAGATCTGCCTCTATAAGAATTGTTCCACATATCAGGGACAATATTGGCTACAAACCGATGGTACCTGCAATGGGTCCTAAGAATTCTTGCTCATATGCAGATATTGTCGCTGAATGTGTTGATTTAAGAGTTATAGAATCTAAAATAAATTTTCCAGAATTGCGGGTTTGGTTTCGTTTTAGAGATGACACATTTGTGCTTTGGAGAGGTACAGTACAAAGGCTTAATACCTTTTTTACTGCCCTCAATTCTTTTGATCAAAACTTACAATTTACAATGGACATCGGTGGAAAGTCTTTGAATTTTTTAGATTTATCTATTACCAATCAGGGTAATTGTTTAGTTACATCGGTGTATAGTAAGCCCACAGATGCCCATGTATATTTAAATGCCAAATCGTGTCATCCAAAGTCCCAGATAATGGGGATAGCTAAAGGAGTAGCGTTAAGAATACGGAGAATATGTTCGGATGAGGATGATTTTCATAACAAATGTAATGAGTATGCTAATTATTTGATAGCCAGTGGGCATGATAAACAGCATGTTAAAAATATATTTGAGGAGGTTGCAGTCATTAGTAGGCATGAAGCCAGGAAAAAGAAGAAAAAAGATAATAGGAATTTATGTATTGTTTCGACTAAATACAATCCCAGAGGACCAGATATCCGTAAGATCTTAAAAAAACATCATAGAGAAATTATTTGTAACGATGAAAAGGCCATTGAGGTTTTACCAGAGGAAGCCATTTGTGTGGCATATAAACGTAATGGAGAAGAAGGTTCCACCTTTAGTTCCACAGTTTCTAAAAGAGTATTTCAGATTGGTAAAGATCTTACTTGCACCTCCGATAATGTTGTTTATCTTGCTAGTTGTGTTGCTTGCAATTTGCAAGCAGTGGGTTCTACTATCAATTTTAAGACCCGACTCGCTAATTACAAGTCTCACATTAAACGTAATAAGAGAACCTGTGGTATTGTTAACCATTTTCTGGATTGTCATGGTGCTGATTATTCATTGTTGAAATTCATGTTAATTGATCGGCGCCAGGGCAACCTAAGGGAATGTGAAAATTTTTGGATTGGTATGCTATTGACTAATCAAAGAGGACTTAACTCTACGCATGATTTTGTACAATAGGATTAGGTTAATTACTTAGCATGCTAAATAGTATAAATGCCATGTGCTGTAACTTAGTTTTTATTCTGAGGAAGGCCGTGTCAAGTGGCCGAAAATTTATTTGTATACTTTACTTTAGTCATCTTTAATAAATTCTTCGATAAGTAGCCATCGTATTTTAATAAGATTCAATGAAACTTGGTACACTTAGTAGGTGCATATTTTTGGTAGGTCATGTGGTTTTCATGGCAACACACTAGTCCCCAGTCTCTACTCTTCCTTTTCACAAATTTCCTCCTGTAGATTTCTTGCAGAGGATGTTTACATGTTATAATGGTTTAAAATTATCACAACGCCTGGACGTATTATTGTAATAAGCGATAATTGCGGAAATTGCTATTTATTTCGTTGGAAATAGATCATATAGAAATTGAAAGAGAAGGGACTGAGGACGAGTGTGTTACCATAACGACCACATAAACAATCCAAATTGTTCACTTCTTTGCACCCACTTAGTGTGCCAAGTTTCATTGAATTTATTGAACGATCACCAAGATATCAGATTTTCTTGTTATTACCACTATTTCGAGTCAAACTAGTGACGTCACAACGCAAAACATAGAAAGTGTGATAACTTGGGACTGAGATGAGATACGTATAAACTGTAAACGTCATTCTTCATCATTTGAGCAGTACCTTGTACCGTAAAAATTTCGTTTCATAAGCACGTTAATTAATTAATGTCAGTCTCCAGTTGTCTACCATTAAAACACAAAAGCAGCTGCTAACTATCCGAAAGACTCCGCTGACGTAATTACCCAGTCGTTTACATTGATTTAACATGCAAATCAGTACCTCCAGCAAATGTTATATACAATCATATTATATTGAAATAATAGCAATTTCCCTCCACATTTTTAAGAATAAAGTTTTCAAACATTTCTGAGTACAGATTTATGTCTCCCTGTTTATGTCAGCAGGTAGGGTTAGGGGACAGAATAAAGACACACAAAGATCGACTCAGCCAAATAAGCGTAACGCTAACACGCCATAATTCTTCGTCAAAATGCTGACGCCATGGTCCGAGCCAGTGCGCTTATGAGAGGCATCCCGCCCCCCGCCCCCCCCCCCACACACACACACATGGGAGAATGCCACTCACTAAGCGCAGCATTTTGATGACAAATTTCGGTTACGCAAAAAAGTCGGGCTTCTGTATTGTCTCTATTCTATAGTTAGGGTGAAGAAGGTCAGAATTATGGTTAGCCTTTATAAACAGCGAGACAAGAACGTTGTAATCACGAAAAATTTTGGGAAATCAATTTCGCAGTTGTCCACTTATTCAGAAACAAATGAAGCATTAGTGAATCAATAATAGCCACAATGCTGATTGCTGATTGAGTCACAAGCAAGTGATATTTAACAGTGGTATTTGGCAGGAAGTGCAATTACGAATTACCGCATCGTTGCCCGTGCGGAATATGATTGGTTGAAATTGTGATCAGGCCGAAAATTACTACACATATGGATTTTTAAGCACCTGTGTGTTTAAAACAATAAGTCGGCAAATTTACAGTAGATATAGAAATGACAGCGTGGTTATTTTCTGTAATCGCCTTTAGTTTAACAAGACGCCTCATGCTCAGGCGTTCACACTGGCCTTATAATACGTGGCTGCGTGCTAATCAGTGTGAAAGGGAACTGATACGCAGGTAATATACTAGTGATACTGTGATACTACAAACATTCGAGTATGTTAGGTTTAAAAATTCAAAGAAAACTAGATCAATACATAGTAAACAAACCGAAGGCCCTCAAGTCACAAAAGTCAAAATTCAAAGAACACTATATCAATAGTAATAAACAAACAAGACAAAAGATGCTATCGCAAAAGTTCCGCTCCTTATCTGGCGGCCATTTTGACTTGAACCTGCAATCCATTGCAGGTTCACTTCATGAACGTTGGTTGATTTCACGTTGACGAAAAAAACGAAGAAGTTTTGCACAGAAAATTAGGGAACCTAAACACTGGGCCTTACGGCCAGTGTAATTAATGTCATGTTCTGTAATAGCCTTGCCCAAGGGGCGCATCTCCCCCAAAATAATAAACTTAGAAAAAATATAGCGCAAGAACAAACGGACAAAATATTGAGCAATGCAATTTTTTATATGTGCCCACGAAATAAAGAAAATCGTTCAAGGG